AAAAAAAAAAAGTTTCGTGGCAAAAATGAAACCGTGCTATAAATAGGCTACAAACCATGTTTTTAAGCCTAAGTTTTCAACATTTAACAATATTTTTCGTCACGTGATTAATTAGATAAAACCCTAATTGTCCAACTCAATCATGATTATTAACTAAAATTAGCTTGAGTATGGTGAGCTTGGACATAACTCGTTAGGAGCGTTTCTAACTATGTCGAATGACACCCACCTTATCTACAATATAATTTAAAACGTAGGAATAAGTGTTAAACATTCAGTTTCCCATATTGTCCTCACATTTTTTAGATTATGATCAAAATACCCTTAGCATTTAATTTATTTTCAGCAGATAATTACAATCAACATTTTAAATAAAACATTCAAATTTTATGATTCAAAAATAATCATCAATTTTTTGTATCATAATATAATTTGACCTATATTGTTATAAGTATTGTGTTTATTATTATGAATATAGTAGCGAACATTTGGTCTAAAGCTACGTAATTCAGGGATTATACTAAGGACATCGAAACATTGCGACCTCTTTCATTTAATAGTGAAGCACATATAGAGAAAAAAGATACAACCATCAAAGGGAAAGGACCTGATTGGGACCAATAAAGATTGTACTGAGTTCATGAATGTGCTAATGATCAAAAGGAACTCCTTTCACTTCTAAGATCAACCATCGAGCCTCTGCTAGCGTCAATACTGTAACGAGTTTAGGGCAGAAATGGTACCTTTCTATCCAAAACAACATTATGCTGACAATATTTTTTGATATATTAATGGGAAATTAGGTAATCCAATGGACTATGCAATTTGGAAATATGATCAAACACTAAATCAATGGAGTCTAGTTCACACAGCTACCAAGAGCCTATCAAGCATCTAACTAGGTGCATGATGAAATGAAACATGACTCGAGCACATGAAATTCAGTTTTGGAGATCAGACATTGCCCTGTTAAGTTGTAATTTAGGAAAGAAAATTATTTCTCTAGCTTCATTAGAGTGCCTTAGGTCTTGTATTGCATAGTCTCAAGGTTATTGCAACTCGAAGAGGTCTGACAGAAATCCATATCATGGTTAATAGGTGCAGATAAGAAGTGATAAACTCGCCCTTGGAAGATAATTCAGAATGAGCAATATTCACACTCTATAACAACTGAGGAACAATGCAAGAACAACATCACAACAATAAAATGAGATAATGGAAATAACAATGCTAATCACTGAAGGGGGAGGATGGCATAAGCTATGTAACTTTCTTGCTTGCTTGCTTGTGTTCTCACACTCAGCCGTGAAGTTCAATAGTTACATGCTATTCATTAGTTTGTTGAGTTTCACTTCCAATACTTGAAATTGAGGCCAGAGAATTCACATTATCTTCCCTGATAAAAGTACGCCACTCATCATTGTAAGCTGCTTTATCAGGATCCAAGTTTGGTATCTCACGCTGCTGAAGAAT